GCCAGGCGGACCTCTCTGGGGAGCGCATTCCATAACTTAGGCGCCACCGCTGAGAAAGCCCTCCTCTGAGTAGCCACCCTCCTAATTTCTTTCATGGAGGGCTCCCGGAGAAGGGCCTCTCCCGCCAATCTCAGGGGGCGGCTGGGCATATATGGATGTAAGCGCTCCTTCAGGTAACCAGGACCCAAGCCGTTTAAGACTTTATAGGTCATCACCAACACCTTGAATTTGGCCCGGACTTCAATGGGAAGCCAGTGAAGCTGACGGAGAACTGGAGTCATGTGAACATAACGTCCAGTCCCCGTCAGCAGCCTGGCAGCTCTATTTTGAACCAATTGAAGTATCCGGACCATCTTCAAGGGTAGCCCCACGTAGAGCACGTTACAGAAGTCAAGATGGGAAGTCACCAGCGCATGTGTCTCCATGGCATTTTACTATTTAAATGCAAGATGATGTGACGAATAGAAGAGGACGCCTAAAAGGGAGGGCATAGGTACAGGGCAAGTGGACAGGGAAGAGCTTGCTTTTTGTAATGTACTGGAAAATGAAAAGAAAAATCTAATATATTGTCAGTAACACATATTTGAAGAGAAAGACAAAAAAAGTAGAGAAGAAAGAAATGAAGAAATGCAGCAATCAGGTGAAGCAGCACCAGGCTATACTTTTCCTTTCATGAGAACATGGACTGATAAAGTCTGCAAATCTTATTTAAGGTTCAGATTTATTTCTAATACTTTTGACAAGGTCAGGATACATTTGCCTTTGGGTAAGGCTTTAAGATCTGATACTATGTATCAGATTTTAATACTGGTTTTTAATATTTTTGTTGTATAATTGTTATATTTGTATATTTTGTTTTTGTTGTGAGCTGCCCCGAGGCTTTGTTGCGATGGGGGCAGCATAAAAAAGTTTTAAATAAATAAATAATTGTGTGAGCATGGACAAACCTCCTTATAGCTCAGTCTTACAGATATGTTTTGTCAAGTTCAGGTGCACATTAAGTCAAATCCTAGATGCTCCTGCAGCAGAAAAAGAACAGCCAGAAGTGGCAATTTGTGCAGTTTTTGTAATTCTATATTTTTGTGTGTGTGGCATTTTTTCAGTTAAGTAAAATGATAAACTTTAGTTATCTGTAAATTAAGTTATAGCAATCACAGGGTGCCGTCATTCTACCCTAGGTATAATATTTTATGAAAACTGAAAGTTCTTATCCTCCTTTATTGAAGTTCATCACTGTGGGGCTAGTTTGAGTAGCAAACCTACCCCAACCCCTATGTCCCATAAAAGGCTCTTTGGCATAAACATTACACTGAAGCATCTGGAGTTCATTCATATATTTCTATATTGCCCCACAGCCAAAACTCTCTTGGTGGTTTACAACAGTCAACATGGAGTACATGCATGCATGCACGCACACAAATGATAACATACTTTCCAGCTGAAAATAAATGCACCTATCATTTCATTTATGTTTTAAATGAAAGAAATGCTTGAGACACTAAGGACAGAATCTTATGTGTGCTCAGATAGAAGAAAAGTCTAAGAAACTCTTAGATTCGTATAATTCCTAAGAAAACTCCCAGAATTTTTTAATGAGGTTGTTTTTGGCTAATGCTTATTGTATTGGCTGAAAGGGATGCTCGATAAGTTGTTCAGACATAAGTTAGGAACAAAACAAACCATCTTGTCCTCTACAAACCACGAATATGCCCTGTTTCTTGTTACTTTATTCGGCTTAAATAGTCAAGGACCAATGAAAGTGTATGGGTACAGAACACAGGATAATGGAACATGACACATGTAAAATCAAGTATTAACACTTCTGGAAGGAGAACAAGTATCTTGAAATGGGTTGACCATATTCTCACACAGAAGCACTGAGAAGCAGAATGCATGCATGTGTGTTAGTGAACTGGGGCTCTCAGTAGCCAGATTCTCACACCTTAACAGTTTTTGCTTTTAACACTGAATTTCTGCCAAGGTTTCACAGACACAGCTGTGGGGGGTTTCATACATTCCAGTCTTGGCTGCAGTGCATCTTGTACCACCTAACCGACCAGTTGGTCACCTAACTCCAAAGACTAGTTCCTTCCCACCAAGCCTTATAGAACTCTCACCTCAGGCCATAGCCCTCCATCTGAGCAGATGGAAGACAACCCCTGCTCTGGGGGCCCTACTTGAAGAACTTGACCTCTTGCCTGCTGCAGACTGTGCTGTTCATCTTTGTGCCCATGGGGCTGTTAACCTGGTCACTTGGGACCTGATTGTCCTCTGGTCTGCTTAGGTCTAACAGTTCCTCTGTTAGATGAAAGCTGTAACATCAAGAAAGAACAGGTATACTTCATTCTTTTTCTGCCCAACAGTGGCTCCAACTCCAGCTCTTCCCACTGCCCATGGCAGATAACTCCTGAGAAGTTATTATCACTGAACCTCATCATACCACTGGGACTAAAGAATGTTTCATTTTATCACAGATGAAAATCACATGTGGACACTAAAGTGGTTTTCTCTCTATGCTTTGCAGAAATTTCCATGGCTTAGAATTATTTCCACCAGTTGCATCAGAAGGAGTGACTCAGCTAAAGCAGAGTATATAGGAAATAAGTGGGAAACAATTTAACCAATGTAAACACAGCTACCCCTCTTCCCCACAAATTAGAAGCTAGATTATGTTAGCCAAGCCAGTTATGCATTTGTTGCGAAACTAAGGCCATGACTTTCTATAATTAGCAATCAATTGACTCTAGATTTGTGTCAAGAGTGACGATCAAGGGTGGACTGATCATTCTGTTACAGGGCTCTTTCATGGTTTGTT